CGGAGGTAGGATTGCGTCTGCCTTAAGCCCCGTGTGAAAACATCCATGTTCTGTGCTGCCTTTTTGCATCTGAATATATACACACTAATTCACATACCTGCATAAATGTGCACAACATCTCTACAGCATGAGAGATACTCTACAGCATGAGTTTCAGCAATGGTCAAATCTTAACTGTTAATATTGCTCTACCATAACTAGCACCAAGACAGCATAAGGAACACAAACACCTCCCTTCCCTCCATACACACTATTTTTTCAGCAAACAGTTGGGCATGATGTTGTTGGAGACACCAAAACAAGCTCAAGCCCAGCTGTAAGTGGAATTGTTGACAATATGCTGTTGGCCTCCACTTCCAGACTCCTCTAATTTGCAGTCCCTTCCTACTCAAAAGAGAGAGTATGCATCTTGTGCTTCATGTGGCTTGATTTTTTTTTAAAAAACCTTCTCCCTCCTTCTATAGGGGTGGGAACTGAAGGAAATGTTAATTTGGGAGGGCAGAATTCTTATTATAAGGGGGAGGACAACACCCTCATTTTGCTCCCCAGTACACTTTTCCCCTTCTTTTCTTCCTCCTGCTCTATCACATTTTTTTTTCTCAATCCATCTCAAATACTTTCTCAGCAGAGAAACTGTCAGAACCCCATGTAGCTGTCCTGCTCTCAAAGCTTCTTCTGCCTGCTGGTTGTTCATGTGCCTTTACTGCCACTCTTTCATACACATTGCATCCTACATCCCTCTCCCATCCAGGCCTCCTGGCTTTATGCATCACACTCACTCACTTTGGGAAGGAAGGAAGGGGAGAGGCCAGGCAGGTGTATGCAGTTAGCCACTGCTTCATTGTTTGATCAAAATAATGGTTAGACAGTTTGCTCCATATCTTAGCTCCTACAAGGACTGATTTCAGTATCTTTGTATGTAACACAGGCTTGTCCCATGGCTTTTCAAGATTGGGATTTTCCCATGCTTGAAAAGCCATGGGATCAGCCCAGGATGTAGATGGGCTGCAGATGGGTGAATGTGGTAAGACCCATCTTTAAAGTTAGACACACATTTATCCCATTGGGAAAAGGATGAGATAAAAAATCTGTGTGATAACCTCCAAGGGGAAGGGAGATTATTTGGTTTAGGAATGAAAGAGGTTTAATCACATGAAAAGGTTTGAAACGCTTTGTGTTTTTGATATGCTGTGCAACTGAGATTGCTTTAATCCTAACCACATCAACATACTGTGAATTGTTTTGGTTTCTAAATAAAGTTTGCTGTTATGGTTAGACAGTTTGGATTTTGGAGCTAAAATCAATCTGTACATGACAGTTGGAGACTTGCTGCTTCTTCTTTTAAATTTTAAACAAAAGCTTGGAACCTGGGACAGCTAAAGGTGCAAATGGGCACTGAATGGGATGCCTAGATTCTGAGAAAACCCAGTTGCCTAGGCTTTATTGCAAACCTATCCTTATCTCAGACCTAGGATGAATTCAAACTGGTGCATTCATTGACATATAAAGCTTTGCCAACATAGCAGTTTTCTCTCTACATGTAACATATTGTGAGCATTCAACATAATGCTTGTGTTCTGTTGTAAATACAATGCCTCTTCTTTTCAGTAGTTTCTTTAACTATTGAAAGCTGGGAAAATAATATTTCTCCAGATGCTAAACTCACAGGCAAAGGCAGGCACTAGACCAGGGGTAAGCAACCTTTTTGAGCCGGGGGC